AATTTCCATCTGTTATTCGCACCATTTTGTAAGGAAGTGATCCTATTAGTTTATATAACTAGCTAAAGGATACAAACATCACTCTTTAATATCTCAATTTGTTTCTTATAGGCAGTAATGAGATTAAATGGAGGTCAAATGGAGACTTTTGCTGGCCTTTACCCTTTCTTGAATGTTTCTACTTAGAAGTCACACAAAAGCTGTGCTTCTGCAATCAAAAGTGGAATTTCAATATAAACATTTCTCATCAAAATTAAAATGATGATTCTTGAATAAAGCATAACAGAGTTTTCTGAGCTATGAAAGAGCAACCTCTAAATATCGATGATGTCTAAATCGACTAATCATTTAAATGTAAATGAGGTATGAATCTGACTAGGTGTTTATTCTTGGTTAAGAGCATTAATCGATGACTATTAACAAACAAACAAACAAACAGAAGCGAGAGTGTAATACACTACACAGCTCATGTGAATGCTAATACTCCAGCTTTGGTCAATACATCAGAGGAGGATTTTTTCCGCAAAGACTTCAAGGGAACCTGGCGATTCTGGCAGCGCTACGTGAAGGGAATAAATGTCAGAATTTGAGGAGCTCAGAGAGAAGAAATGAGAAGGTGTCTTCATCCAGACACACAGATCCACGCATGCAGAGCACTTAAAAGACCAAGACACGCTTTCCTCTGTGTTTGGACTAATGAAAATGAACAACCTGGACATTTATTATTCAGCAGGTGCCTTACCTTGCATATTTTAACCTCAGATCCACAAAGGCATTGATACTAACAGGTTAAAATGAGTGACAGTTTGGATAATGAGCCAATGTGTGTTGGTTATCTGTTGGGGGTTTCATCCCTCTTCATGGGATGATTGTGTGATGTTGGTGTTCGTAAATCAGAAATGTTGCCTTGGCAAACTTAAAGTTGAAGTACTAAAATTACTAATACCAAAACGGAAATAAAAAAATCAATTAAAGCTATATATATATATATATATATAAGCTAATAAAAATAACAGAAACACATAACAATAACAAACTCATAAAATACTAAAACTTAAACTTAACTTAAAATGAAAATGGAATATATGTAAATATATAGAAATTAGTGCTGTCAAACGATTAATCGCATCCAAAATAAAAGTTTTTGTTTACCTAACATATATGAGTGTACGGTTTATATTTATTATTATTACATATATATATATGTGTGTGTACTGTGTATATTTATTATGTATATATAAAGACATACACATACAGCATATGTTTTTAAAATATTTACATGTATTTACATGCATATATTTATATTCATATAATTGATATTATATAAATATAACATTTTTTTTAAATATATACATGCATGTGTGTGTATTTATATATACATAATAAATATACACAGTACACACACATATACCATGTAAACAAAAACTTTTATTTTGGATGCGCTTAATCGCGCTTAATCGTTTGACAGCACTAATAGAAATAAAATATGACTATAGAAATTATAGAAAAAATAAAAGGTAATTAAAACTAATAATTAAACTAGTAATTAAAAATGTATAATAATAATAATAATAATGGTTGTAACAGAACTGTGATGCCTGTGATGGCTTAACTAAGTTTTGTTTTTTATTTTCTTTATCTAAAGATTTGAGATTCATCTCCCATAGAATAATAAAGTTTTATAAATTCATCAAATTCCTGTAAAAATACTTTAATTTCGGGTAAGTACAGAACTGCAAACGTATTTGCTTTTTCAAAGTCCTCTTTTAACAATCCATTACCAACCTTCCGCTGTTTCTCTTTCTGTTGAGTTCTCTGTGATGTCATTGTCTTCTGCTTTGGGATAAAACCCATAGGTATGCTGTGACTCATCCGCTCCTACTCAAACCTGCTGCCAAAGCATTTCCTGCAATCTCAGTCCAAACAGAGCACGCAAAGGGGCTCAACAGCACGCATCTGTCAAACGGCCTGCGCCAAATCATAGTATGCTCGCTATGTGCACATACCTCCCTCCCAACCATAATTGACAAAATATACTAATGAGGAATCATTTGGAAAAGATACAAAAATCTCAGCATACACAGAGAAGCAGAAATTGGTTTTGAAGGCGAGCAGGAGTAAATACGAGCCATCTTCCCAATCTCCCCACCCACCTTTTCTCATTCTCCGATATGTAAATGTTTGCCAATAACAGTTTATTTTGGGTGTAGAGTCTCGTGAATTATAGATGACCATATGGGCTTGAATGGCTGACACTGCCTGCTGAAACACTGAAGGGATGAGCGAGACCGGACAGATGTCTCCAATTGAAACGGCTTTCCTCATCTCCCATAAATTGTCAAAGTTAATCAAGGGATGCATGGCCAATTTTGTTTGTGGGTTAATTTTTTTCTTGGCTCAGTTTGTAAGACATCGCTCCAATTTAGGGTGGTTAAACATGCATTCACATAATGAAATGCTTCACAAAACAACGTCCTCCTTTGGCTGGTCGACTTGAGACTTTTCAGTCACTTAAAAACCCATTATCCAAGTCCAAATGCAATGCATTTGGTTATATTAAATGTAGCCACAAGTTAAAGCTATATATTTATATATATTTTTTTTTTTGAGAGTTTTTGCACTGCTCTTCTGGTCAACATAAGAATGTTTAGGTGCCTTTAAGCAGTCATCTAACAATTACAGGAATGTTGTGCTAAATGCTACAAATTACTATAGGTTAAAGTCACAGTTACAAGCAAAGCAACACCCTAGGGACCTGGTGTTAAATAAAGCAGACATCTCCTTTATCTCCATTTTTCACTATTTTTTCACAAAAATGATCCTTTCTACTGATGAACAGTGTTGGGCAAGTTACTCTGAAAATGTAATCAAATTACTGATTACTGATTACTCCTTTTAAAAGTAATCACGTTACTATTCTGATTACTTTATTTCAAAAGTAATTAGTAATTAGTTACATTACTAGTTACGTTACTTTTTCCCCCATGAAATTTATGAAATCCCAGCATACACGCTCCCGATAAATATTTGTTATTAAAGCATCAACATTCACAGAACACTGTTATTTTTAACTGAGCAAGCGGCTGCTGCGTGCATGGTTTGGTATACAGAATGCCAGCAAAGAGCGCTGCAATTATAATCTCTAAAAGACATCTCAGTTCATCGCAATCTCACAAATCTCTGTTATAACACAATAAATACTATATATGCATAATGAATCGTTCATAATGTCTACAACTCGTGTTTTAATGAGAGGATTCGTGAGCACGCAAATTTCAGCACTGCATTGCTCAACGCTGCAAACACGTGTAGCCAAATAGAAACTCTGCTTGCACCTGTTAATTGTTTATATTTTATATTATTTCATGTTGCTTTTGTGCAATATATCTAGCCAGGCTCTCAGACACCGCGCAAGTGGCATCAACGGAACTACAGGCGTACCCGCAGTGGGGCAGCGCGGAAGAACGCAGGGACCCGGCCCGGGCGTCTCTTTGCCGGTCCGAGGCGGGGTCTGTGTGTGTGTAACACTGACCTGCGTTTGAGCAGAGGGTGCGTGGGTAGTCCGTTGGTTCGTCCTCCCGATCCGCCCACTGTTGCTCACTGGCGAGAGAGGAGGGTGAGTGTGATACGCACTGGATCGTCCACAACCCCCCGTTCCCTCTGGGGACCCAGAAATAGAGGAATTGCTCTTTGTCGAGTATTTGGGTACCACCGACCGAGAGGTCAGTGGTCGGAAAAAGATGAAAAGATTCTCCGCCCAGCCCTCGTCCGGGGGAGGGAGTGGTGTGCTTACCATCTCCTGAAGAGCAGGTCCCTCCACCTCTGGGTTGCCCGTCTCAGGGCCTCTGCTCTTTCGCTTGCCACCAGGTTTGGCGGGGGCCTGGCGGCTGCCCTGCGACCGGCTCCATGGCGCAGCTTTGCTGGAGGCCGCAGGAGCGGGGCGGTGGCAGGGGGGCCGCCCTCAGCGACGGCAGCAGCTGCACGCCGGGGCAGGATGTACCTGATGGCCTCAGTCTGCTTTGGTCAGCGGAGAACCGCTGGGTCAAGTCTTGTCCCGCGCCGCACTCTGTTGCGTCGGGTCTCGCGGGAGCAGGTCTCTAATCCACTGGCACTTGACTCGACAGTGCCTGTGCTACATCCTTTTTAGGTCTCTAGATTATAAAACACTGCATTCTGTCAGCAATGTAATGCGGCAGTAACGTATAGAGACCTCGGCTTGTAACTATACTCTAATTACTATTTAGAAAATGATAACGCGTTAAATTACTCCGTTACTAAAAAAGTAATCAAATTACAGTAACGTGTTACTAAGTAATGCGTTACTGCCCAACACTGCTGATGAACAGCCTGATGGACAGTTTTCATTAGCAATCTGTATAATTCATCATAATACCCGCTGGCTGTGAGCGACTGGCAGGCTATTTCATTTGGCCCAATGTTTCATCTCATTTTAAGAGCACTGTGACAGAGACAACTAAATCTTGTAGAAGAAATATAATGTCAACAACCAGATATCATTTAATGGCGCTATATTAGCAAAATAATTACCCAAGTCTATCACGGTACTACTCTGGCAATACCATCATGTTTTGACGTCTTCAAAAGTATTCTTTGAAATACCTTGGTGTACCATGTACACATGGTATTTCCATGGTATATGAACATGGTGAAACAGGATAATGTTCTAAATAATATACTTTAAAATATACGGAAATTCAAGTACCATGGTATTTAAATGTACCAATGTAGTAACATGGTAGTTTTTGGTACTTTTTTGAATGAAGTGGTTCAGTACTGTGAACGTCTCTGGATTTTGGATTTGGTCTTACCTTAAAGTAACTTTAAATACTTCCATACTTACTTTTTAAGCATAATGAAAAATACAGCCATTGGTGTGGTTGAGGAGTGAGGTGCAGTTATCAAGGTGAAAGAAACCCAAAATTTGACTTAAACATTTAGTTTAAACACTATTTAGGATTCCTTGTTGTTTCAGTACTCACAAGCGATGATGTTGCCGTAGCGATTCTTGTTGCGGTTTTCATCCTTCTTGGCAGTTTCCCATGGTGCCGTTTGTCCCTCAGCCAGACCCTGGAATCAAATCAAGAATATTTTTTAACATGTTCATCCATTACAGAGACTGCTTTCACACACATGCATACATATATACATATATTTTCTGATAGCTAAAGACATACAAGTTAAACTTTTCACACTTTGAGATGCTTTTCTGAAATAACAGGTCAAGTTAGGTGCCTCTTTTCCCTTGATATCACTGAAAGACTCTGAAATCTCAGACAAGAGCACTGAATGACCACTTAAAGCCGTAGTGCTATCTTCATCCTGTCCACCACACACAAGACGAGCCATTTACTGTGACAGATCTAAAGAAACAACGGTGGTCTGCAAAGTGTCTGCATTAAAGAAAGACTTCATGGACAAAGTGATTCAAAACAAGCACATTTTAAAGATGAATTGGAGGGGTGATGATGCAATTTAGTGAAGGTCTATCTTTAAAAGACGTCTCTGTGAAAGAACAGCAACAGAGAATCGACTGAAAGACAAGAGTTCATTCACAGACCTCATAATGTGTAATTTGTTTTATTTTTTCCACTCTCAGTAAAAATTGAGGGCCGAATTTAATTCATCTTAGAACATCCAAAATGTCTGAAAATTCATTAGGTTTTCACAATGTACTTTTATTGACATGAGCTTGCACACCGTCAGTCAATTATTACAATAATTAATTATAAATTCAGTATCAGTTTGTAAAATTAAATGGGTTTAACTAATAGCAAATGACAGGCTACTTCATTCGGCCACCGTTTCATCTACTTTTAACAGTGACAACTGTATCTTTTAGGAAAATATAATGTCAATAACTACATATCACATAATGAATTGCATCTATAGTATGAATTGTATTCCATCCATCCATCCATCCAAGTGTTGCTTTTTAGTACTTCTATTAATGCAGCAACATACCGGTTAAGCAAGTAAGTAAATAAATAAATAATGTGTATTTAATCTAAAAATACTATCACATAATGAATTGTGATGCTATATTAACAAAAGTAGTACAAAAGAGTTCCATGGCACTACTAAAATTGACTAAATCCAACCAATCAATCAAACAAACAAACAAAACAAAAATAAGAGAAGTTAGAAAAATTAAAATTATTATTAAAAAATGTGTTCCATCATGCATCGCTACATAGAGTTTTTTTAACTGATTGACTGTTCTGGCTGGTTTAAATCGCTCAGCATCCGACGAGGTCATAAAAGTAGAAGAACTGTTTTTCTCTTCCATGTCCGTACGATGGATCCCATCTGGAAATAGTGAGGCATAGAAGCCTGAACACACAGACTGTATCATCTCTACTGTGCTGTTCCTTCACATGCATTAAACATGATCAGGCACCTGTGAAAATCGAAACCTTACAAAGCCTAATTTCTTTTGAATTGCTCTTTCATGTGTGAATTAAACATGATCTGGCAACCCTTCCAATAAACCAGTCACATTCATGCAGGGATACTGGTATCTGGCAACTCTGCCCATGCTCTCATTATAATCACGGTACAGTCAGGGTAACTGAGTCAGTTATAGGCAAACTCTGTCTGCCTGACAGAATGTGATGCTAAAACTGTTTGAGGGCTTCTTAATGAGACATTTTGAGACATCCGGAGAGAATCACTACACAAAAAGCTTTAAACTCCTGTCTTCTGGCAGTGAGCTAAACTTATTTTTCATTTGTTCTGTACCGGATTCCTCATCCACCCTCCAAAAATGTCCTCACTGGAGCCTCTCTGGTCTTCTGATCTTCTGTTTTTGATACTATTAATACTTTATAGAAGTGATGAGAAGACAGTGAAGGCGTGTTTACTGTGTGTGTGTGTGTGTGTGTGTGTGTGTGGACACGAAGACAGCAGACACGCTGTCAGACCTCTTCCAACCCCACACTTCCAAACATTTCATAATCCTCTTCACCAGCTACACTTTCTACTCTTCATCATTTTGTTATTTTGTTATCTAATGCAACGACATTCACACATTAAGCGTTGACTTAAGTGTCCAAATACTTTATGGGGCCACTGTAACCTTCTCCATATTTATACGTACTATTAACTTCTCGTTGTTTCTTCTCTCTCTAATGTGAGCACAGATGCAGGATCACACATCTGGCAGGCTGAGATTAATGATGCGATTGTGCTGACATACACACACAGGTGGCCGTCATCAGCTTTTACCAACATGATCAGATCTGCATCACTCGCTCCCTGTCCATCATATCTCATCCCTCTCCATTCCTTCTCTCTCAACTCTATTTGTTTGTTCTACTTTGCAAAATGTAAAATTAAAGGTGCAAGCTATACTAATGTACTAAAAACTAATATTATTACGTGAGAAATATTACATTGTTTATTATTAAGTATTTGCAGTATTTGACTATTTAAATAATATATTTTCAAGAGTCGTTTTTTACATTGCTTAACAGCATAAATCTGTGAATTGTGAAAATAAATAAAAAAGTAAACAATTAAAAAGTATGAACACTGTTTAAACATGCAAACTGTGAAACAAGGAAGATTCAATTAGTTAAAATGTATAAGATTTAAACCAATTGTAGTTATAGATGACACCTATCTTCATGTGACTAGATTTTAATTCATTAGCTAATTAGCTTGATTTAAAAGGGTTAAAAAGCAAAGTTAAATTACTGGGTACGAGTAACATTAAAATCTCATTTGCAGTAAAAACCATCTCCAAATTCACAATAAAACATGCATTATGGGAAATGCAGTATTTGCCCCTAATGTGCTCTCGCTCATATCAGCTTGTCACAAGCCAGTAAGCAAACGCTCCATTCAACTCAGTGTAAATGTATTGAGTTTCTCCTCCTTCACTGCATATTAGAAAAAATGACTTATTTTCGGAGGCAAGTATAGAGATGGGCTGATGCAAAAAGCTGCCAACTTCATTTGCAGGCAAACTTGTGAGGCAAATCAGGTTAGAAGAGAGAGGCGATAACAAAAAGGTGTTATAAAAACGTCTGCCTTGATGAATGACCCTTTAAACATGGAGGCACAGGCTCTGGTGCTATCAGACTGCCTAAGACAGGTATGAGCTGCCAGCAATACATCCATCTCATGTTTACTTCTACACTTCAGACGGCCTAAAGCAGTCTATACAGCTGAGCTAGTCCTATTAGACCTATCCTAACTCTTCAAGTGATCAGTTAATAGTTAGGACAGACCTCTGTAACATTTAGATCTCCTTCAGGCTTGGTGAGGAGCTGCATTATCCTATTTCTGGCATTCACGATGGAAATTGTGAATACATAAATTGGACAAAATAGACACTATACAACATGCACATCAATTTGTTATTTTGTCATCTCCGAATAATAAATCAGATGTATGACAGACATAACTATGAGTCATTTTTTATGAATGAGAGTCTCTTCTTTAAAAGTGCAGTCTTGTCCCTTTTTAAAGATGCCTTCAATCCAGGGATTGAAAATTTGGATACAGAGTGTCCCTTCCTCTTTAATTCACCGATGTCTCTTGTTGCCACAGCCATCCATTAAGACTGTGTCTGAATACACAATAAGGTGACAAATATGATTCATACTTATACTCAAGCTAAGTTCTCTGCTGATTGTTCATACAGTACTCTCCTTTGATAGCCTGCCTAAGAGTATTCCTACATCAGTGAGCAAAGAGCTGTTCAGAATAACTGATCCCAGACCAGATTCCATATTAGAATTCAGAATAAGATGTTTACAAAGAACATGCCATCACTGCTTTGCAAGCATCACAAATAATCTCAAAGTATAATCATACTACAGTAGTTACTACATGCAAACTATATCTCTCATCTGGGAGAGAAAATATTTTAAATAGTTATTTTTCATAAAACACAGATTTCTCAAGTTAAAGGAACAGATTGCCCAAAAATGCAAAATTGCCATAAACTTTCCTCACCCTTACATCTTTACGCTCTGTTGATCACACAAAGGTTCACCAATTTAAAATTGAAAATAACTGAGAATCAGATCGGCATATTAGAATGATTTCTGAAGGATCATGTGACACTGAAGACTGGAGTAATGATGCTGAAAATTCAGCTTTGCATCACAGCAATAAATTACATTTTAAAATATACCAAAATAGAAAACAGTTATTTTAAGTTATTTTATAACTACTCTTTTCACTGCATGTTTGATCAAATAAATGCAGCCTTGGTGAGCATAAGAGATTTCTTTTGTAAACATGAAAAAGTCGTAGTTATTCCATACTTCTGGCTGGCAGAGTATATACTGTAGCTCAATATCTCATTTTATGGTACTTTTTAATGCTTTAAAGCTTCAGTCCACATTCATTTTAATTGCAAGGACAAGTGCGGCCAGAACATTCTTTAAAAATACATCAAGCCTGTGTTTCACAGAAGAAAGGATTGGTTTGGAATGACATAAGGGTGAGTAAATGATGACAGAATTGTCATTTTTGGAGGGTGAACGATCCCTTTAATGAAAACAAATCACAAAGTGAAGCTGGAACTCATACAAGGCAGCTACTTCAAAGCCACAATTTGTAGGAAATACATTTAGAGGAAAAATAAATGACCTTATCAAAAGTTAATTTCATATCTTTCTATTGTTGGCAGCCTCTTTCCTCTAGCGCTATTCAAACAAAATAACCGAGCAACAACGATGCCAATATGCGCTTTCCCAATCGTAAAACTGTACCCTATTACAGAATCTGTACCTTAAAAACAGAGAAAAATAAGACCCCACACACACACATACACACACACACACACACACACACACTCACACACACACAAAAATGTCTCTTTAATTTCAAATGACAAGGAAACAATCTAACAGACGCAATTTCAATGTTGGCGACCTTAAGTGAAAAGGAGTTCTATTAAAGCGAGTTTCTATTAAATTATTATTAAAGTATTATTAGAACAGATCATGTATGGGGACTGCAGAGATAACTTGAGGTTAGTATACTTTTTAAAAATCTTGAGTACGACTTGCTACTGACACAAAGGTCTTTGCATATACCTACCAATAAAGGTTTAGACAGTGAAATATAATTGGTTTTATTGTCATGGGGGGTTGATCTTTTGTGGCCCACTGTGTAGGGAGATTTTTCAAGAAGCACTTCTTATCTCACATGACCTTTTCTGAACAAAATGCCAGCATGTCCTCGTGACACTGACCTGCTTCCTTTAATAAGCACAGAGGTACTTCAATTAGTTATTCAAATGTGTTTAAGAAATAAAACAATATGGAAAAAGACAGGGCACTAGCAAAAACACTCATTATTGAGTGATTTTCGAAAAAACATGTTTGACATTTTAATAACCCCCTCAATAAAACTATTTTAAGATTCATTCCACATCATTCTTGGGCTTACTGTGCATGCAGAGGCAAAAACAAATTTTATAGCTGCACGGCTGTGGTAATTACTGCAGAGAGGCTTGATCTTACATACTTTTACAAATTTAGTATACTAAAAAGTAAGCAAAAGATATTTGAGAGCTACAGCAGAGAGAAAGACTTTCAGCAAAGTCTCCCATAAAGATGGCTTCATTCATTCAATGTAGCAAACAAATCAGCATCAATATTCTTTTATCTACTCCGTAGAGAGAAAAAAGAAAGCCATATTGAAAGTTTAATTTTTCTTGATGTCAATCACTCAAGCTCAAGACTTCTTACCTCGTACTCCTCTTTAAAACCGTAACCCTGCCCACACTTCATCTGGGTGATGTGTTGGAGCAAGTCTGCCACTCTGATGGCCGGTTGGAACTGGCCGGCCTGGTAGGACATCTCCACCGACTCACAGCCTCCATATGGGTACGTCTGGATGGTCATCGAGGGCTGGGACATCTCACTGTGGCTGCCATCTGTGGAGGAACAATTCACAATCCTTGAGTACCCATCACAATGTTCAATTGCCAGCTGGAAGGTTGCTGGTTTGACACCAAACAAGGCAAGCAAGGCACCAACCCTGGATTGCACTTTCCTATATTTATAACATAAAAGTAATGGAAAGAAACTCTACCAGTCCTGGTTATTTTATGTTATGAAGCAAAATTCATCACTCTATAGCATAAAGTTACCATTGGACAGCATGTTTAATTTACAGTTTACCTAGAAAAGGCATAATTCATTTCTACAACCTGTTGGATTCACAATCTCCCACGTATGTTACAATCTATCAATGTAAAACCCCCAGGCAAAAATGGAAACACTAGAAGATTGTGCGCTTTTAATCAATAATTTACAACATAGGCAGGTTGAACTGCTATAATGAACAGTGCATATCTATTTCCGACCATCTAAAGATTAAATTGGATTCTTCTCAATTTTCCCCACTGCTAGTAATATTATAAACATTTAAATGACAAACCCAGACCCCCAAAAAAATTAAAAATTAAAAATAATGTGTAAATGCACATTTTAAATGTGTTACAAATTTAATGACCACCCCACCCCCCTAATATATAATACTAGTCAAAAGTTTAGAATAATTAAAATTATAAATGTTGTTGAGAGAATATTGTCTATAGTGTATATGAACTACCATTTAAAACTTTACACATTTAAAATGCTCACCAGGGCTGCATTTATATATTTATATAAAAATACACAAAAAAACTGTAATATTGTGTAATATTATTGCAATTTAAAATAACTGTTTTGTATTTTAATATATTTTAAAAAGTTATTTATTCCTGTGATACAAAGCTGAATTTTTTGTAACCATTACTCCAGTCTTCAGTGTCACATGATCCTTCAGAATTAATGCTAATATTGCAATAGAAAACAGTTCTTTTAAATTTCACAATATTTATTTTAAGTGTATACTGCATGTATATATATATTAGGGCTGTCAACGTTAACGCGTTAACGCATGCGATTCATTTTACAATCCTTAACGCGTTACAATAATTTAATGCAACGCAAAATTATTGAAGCACAATTTCTATTCTAACCCTTCGTCTCTGAAGAGCACGAGCCCTCACACGTCACATGCTCTATGTGAAGTACAGACTGAACGGATTGTCAACAAATCCCACCGCTGTATGGCCAGATGAGACGCAAACTACGGTTTCTCGCTAGTAAAGTTTTGATGGATGAAGACTGCAATCAAGTTAAAGACGATTGCAGTGGCGTACAGGAGTCGTTCAGTAAGCACACTTGAGTCCGTTATAATAATGTGTGTATGAGTGCTCTTGACGCACTGATCGCACATTGTATTTATGCACAGGCACAGACATTTCTGTACATTCACGTTGTTTCCACACACATTCACGGTATGTTGATTGTTTTGATTTGTCATGTTTATGTTGCTGTGTTTAGTTATTCTGAATGGATCCGTGTACTGTAGTAGATACATGCAGTCAGCAGGTGGCTGGTTTAGGTTTTTTTGTTGGCATCACCATGTGGTCCTGTTCGGTATCGCAATTCGACTTCTCTAAAATGTAAAAAAGCTATTTGCTGTTGCACTGTACACATACTATGCAAATCAGATATATATATATTTTTTTTGCATTTTTTTCTTTCATATGTGCTTATATGGGCTTCTTTATATCATTTGGTTATTTGGTGTCCTTTTGGAGTTCTTTTGGAGTCCTTTTTTGGAAAGATCTTCATTTATCTTATAGAAAGTATTAAGTATTATTATTTATTACTGTATTAAGAAAATACAGATTTTTGAGAATCACCCTTCAATCTTTTGGTTTACTTTGCTGAATATAGCAAATGATGACAAAATAACCATTTGAAACAAGATAAATGGTCTATGCTTAATTTCATGAAGTGTGCGATTGATCGCGATTAATCACAGAAAAAGTGTGTGATTAATCAGATTAAAAATTGTAATCTATTGACAGCCCTAATTTTTAAAATATTATATATATATATATATACACAGGGTGCGATTTGTGAAAAAAACAGAGGGGGGGATGCTTTTGAAAACTTTTTATAGGTGTATAAAACTCCCAAATACCCGTCTTTTTAGTCATTAAATGTTTTTAATACGATGGAAACTGTATCTAACGTGATACAATTTTAATAAAAACATTGTAAGTTAGGCCTATTAATTTTAATGATTTCATTTCCACAGTTATTCAAACAATAACTAGATTATATAGGGAAAGTGAGCAAAGAACACAGCATCAACGGAGCTTTTTGAAACTTTGAATCAGTTAAACCATTGCATCGCAAAATGATTCACTGTTTCGCAACGCTCCAATTGGATTGCATATGGATATATATATATATATATATACATACACACACACACACACACATATACATACACAAATATATTCAAGAGATTGGATAAAAATATCTATACATCCCTATCTACAACTGTATATATACAGAAAAAAAACATTTTGGACATTTTAAATGTGTGTACTTAAATTCATATTTATTTTTTTCGAGTACGCTAGCATAAAGATAAGATCAAAGCAAACAGACAAGGACTAAAATACACCTCATTTTGCATTTATGGGAACTAGCCAATTGCATCACACAGATCCTACATAATCTGTAGAACCATTCAAAAAATGACAAAGAAAACACAAATATTTGCAGTCTAGGATCATGTTGCTCTCAAAAAAGCAAGGCTTTGTTTACTGTGCACTAATACCTCTCAATCAAGACCAAACCCCTGAAAGCTCGAGGCTAAGACCTCGACTACTGTGAGATATCTCTGAGTGTCATTCAATCACAGCTCAGTGCAGACTTCAGTTATGCATAACAATATACTGAGAAGCAGACAGTCCGTCCTTGCAAACTCTTTTATTAGAATAAGACTGGGAAGTAGTTTATTGATGTTAATGAGCTTATTAAACAGAGGAATGGGGGAAGCAAATGACAGAGAATTTTTAATATGGCCTGCTTTAAACGGCTAAAGCATCATTCAGATGCATAGAGTGATGGAAAATTACTCGACAAATTATTAATGTAGCTATTTGCATCTTAATTGCCTTGAAAATTCATTATACACAAAAAAATTAAAATCCACACCAAACATCTACGCTTTCAACACGGCAAAATACAAGTAATTTTGCATGAGGTGTTAGCACCCCAGTATTTTTAGTGCCAGAAGGAAAAAGTTGAAAGTATTAGTGGCGACAATGTATTATGAAGAAAACAATTATGCCAGAATCGTAGCCTCAGGAGGATCTTTTTAAAGGACACAAAAAGTAACTAGCAGAGAGATGCTGAGACTGCTCAATGAATCTGAACAGGTTCACGACCAGCACACAAAACATCATTTGGATCTGACTGAACGGTGAGCTTTGATATTTGTTTAGGTATCAAAACCTTGTTGCCTATAGACAGCTACTTATAAGACAGCAAACAGTTACGGTTCCCATTGACTTCCATTGTATGGACAAAAGTACAGTGGAGGTCAATGGGAACCTAAACTGTTTGGTTACCAGCATTCTTCAAAATAACTTATTTTACGTTCCACATAAGAAAGTCATACAAGTTTTGATAGACATGAGTAAATGAGAAGAATTTTCATTTTTGGGTGAACTATTCATTTAAGTTACTTATTTGTAGAGATCAATTTCTTTTTTTTTCTTTTTAACCAATATTTACACTTCAAGCCAACAATTCAAGCCAAGAGCCAACGAAAAGCATACCATTTTAAGCTTGACAGTTAGACATAGACTGCATAAATAAATAAATACATACATACATTCATAAAATAAAATAAAATAAAAAATATTCCCAAAAACTTTACAAATTTAGTTCTAAAACAAACTATTGTGCACAAAGTCAAGATATTTGAATATTACAGGTCATGATATTCATATTGGGCTAGGCAAATGTATGGTGGAAAAATATGTTTATGACTTAGACGCCAACATACAAACACTAAAAGAGAAAAACAGAGTGTGCGATAGAGAAGTATACACTAGAGATTCTAAGGTCTCTCAATTTACTGCCCCTGCTTCTGCCTTTCTCCTTCCCTCTATGTATCAAATTTTTATTAATTAATTATTCATGTGTTTTTGTCTCAGCAGCATGGAGCGAATCCCAAAGTGGTGGCCCAGTGGGTGTATTATGTTGTTAAAACGACGCGTCTGCCACATCCAAGCCTCAGAAATATTACTGCCCCTGCTTCTGCCTTTCTCCTTCCCTCTATGTATCAAATTTTTATTAATTAATTATTCATGTGTTTTTGTCTCAGCAGCATGGAGCGAATCCCAAAGTGGTGGCCCAGTGGGTGTATTATGTTGTTAAAACGACACGTCTGCCACATCCAAGCCTGAGAAATATCGAAGAACTTCTGCTCTAGAAACGAAAGGTCAACTGCACATTTTAGGTGACCTCATATGGGAGGCAAGTTATATATGTAGATTATGGATAATCATTTAGGTTTTGTAGTTTTGAATCTTCAGGATGATGAGTTCTGACAGTTATGAGTAGAAAAAAAAGAGTACAGTTCATAAATAAATTATACTGAATCATTAGTAGATTTTACTGCGAGGTCCTATGGGATACGTTTAGTCCTACAAACACCTTAGGATGATGGGGAACATAAAAACATGACTGAAAACCCATATGGCAAAACAATATGAATACTGAACAAGATTTTGATATGTCCTTCCTTAAAGGTGAAGTGTGTATTTTCTGTACAAAATAGTAGAATAATTACATTTTTTAATTTTCTGAAGGATGTTTATTCAGTAATAAAAGACAAATCTTTAATTGTGTAAATGTGATGGAAAAAAAACCCCTCTGAAGTTTATGCTTTAAATCTGCATATTTATATTTATATTTATATGATATGTCCTTCCTTAAAGGTGAAGTGTGTATTTTCTGTACAAAATAGTAAAATAATTACATTTTTTAATTTTCTGAAGGATGTTTATTC